ATGATGTCCTTCTCTGGAGATGGGTCCCTGGAGGAGTAAAAAAGCATACCTGGTCTAACTAGGAATGAGGGGACAAGGTGAATTCAGTTGGTAATCAGGGTGGGCAAAAGTGAATGTTTGCTGCTGGCAGGGCTGGGTGGAGATGGGGTTTCCTGCACCAGCTGTCCAAAGCACCAGTGTGTAGCCTTGAGCAAATCTCTCCAGGACTCAGGGCCTCTCTTTTCCCATCTGTAAAGTGGGACAGTATCCACCTCGGAAGGCTGCGGATGGGGTTGAAATTAGATCACACATGTATGGTACTTCATACATTGTGTGTGTACATTGAAATGTAATTTTCTACTTCTTTCCAAATTAAAAAAAAAAAAAAAATTCCCTTCTGGTTAGAGTTATGACCACAATGATTAGGATAAGTACTGGATTCCAAGGTCAGTTTGAACGGCTCCTCCTTGGAAACCCTATACAGGGTCACAATGAGTTGGAACGGACCCAAGGGCACTTAACAACAAAGATACTGAAGGATCCTGGTGTGGCACTCTAGAATAAGCACTGGACTACAAGGTCAGTTTGAACAGTTGCTCTTTGGAAACGCTATCCAGGGTTGCTATGTATGAGTTGGAACTGACTTGAGGGCACTTAACAACAAAGATCCTGAAGGAGTACTGGTATGAGGCTATAGGATAAGCTGTTCAAACCCACCACCCTATATACTCTCAACAGGGCCACTATGAGTAGGAACCTACTCGATGACACTTACCTACAATAACATGACACTGAACAGGTTTCAGTAGAAAGAAACATCTAGAGATCTACTTCTGAAATCAGCTCATGAAAATCCTACGGATCAATTATGGTCTCATCTGTAACGCATCAGGGGCCGGTGCAGAACAGGACAGCGGTTCAGTCCATGGCTGACCCAACGGCAGCTAACAGCAACGGTTAATACAATTCTGTCCCCTGTCTGAGTACTACAGTGTTGCTATAACAGAACTCCAACAAACAGATGGTTAAATAAACAAACATTATCCTGTCCTTTTAGGAGACTTGAAGTCTGAATTCAAACTACCAGCTCTGGGGGAAGGTTCTTGTCCCCTCTCAGCATCTGTTGGCCCAGCATTCCTTGGCGATCTACATGCATCTTGGCATCAATCTTCCCTGGATCCAGGACCTTCACAATGCAGGGGCTCCAGGTCCAATGGATGCACTCCACTCCCGGCTCTGCTTTCTTGGTGACAGTGAGTCCCGCTTCCTCTGCTTACATCTCTCCTTTTATCTCTTATAAGATAAAAAGTGCCCCATGCCACACTCGAGAATCTCCCATATATCTCATCAGGGTCCTGATGGGATTAAGGGTGATGTATCCCACCTTTTAAAAAAGGCAGACCCCCAGTGAGATGGATTGGCAAAGTGGCAGCATCAATGGGCTCAAGCGTAGCAACAATTGTGAGGTTGGCCCAGAACCGGGCAGTGTTTCATTCTGTTGTGCATAGGGTCGCTATGAGTCAGTACTAACTCAATGGCACCTAACAATAATGACAACATCCCACCTTTAATCCTATTACTGTTTTATCACATTAGATAACATCATGGGGGGTCATCACATAACTAAGCACTGAGAATCATGGTCCAGCCATACTGACACATATTTGGGGAACACAGTTCAACCCAGGACATTCCCCAACTGACAGGCATTTCACTTGCTCAGATATTCACATGAGATTTATGCATTCACCCACCTCTAGGGCTTGTGGTATTATATGATTTTTTGTAAAGCACCAAGCTCTTATGTAACATGCTTAGAACCACCCAGTTATCAATGATGAGCTGCCCCTGCGAGGTCCCTATGCAGGGCTCAACAGAGTACATGGGGAATCACATTAAATATAACATTTCTAACACGACAGCCCTGATGTTCTGTAAGATCCTAATCATCACAGGGTATGTTTACAGCCAGTTCTGGGTTAGCATTGAGTGTTTTCACCTCAGGAGTTTCCAGTTGCTGCACACAAGTGAAGCGTGTGGCTACTAACCATAAGGTTGACAGTTAGAACCCACCCAAAATCACCTGGGAAAAATGACCTGGCACTCTACGACCAAAGGGTCACAGCCATGAAAACCGTACTCTGTCACATGGGGTCTCTGTGAGTTTCAATCACCTAAAAGGGAATGGATTATTTAGATTGGATTTTCCTTTTGTTGGTGTTAAGTGTTATAGAGTCAAATCCAGTTTATAGGGACACTGAATAGGGTTTCCAAGGAGTGGCTGGTGGGCTTGAACCACCAACCTCAAGGTTATCAATCAAGTGACTACTCTACTGCACCATACCTCTATGTTGTTATTGTTGTCAAGTGCCGTCGAGTTGATTCTGACCCATAACAACCCTGTATAGGGTTTCCAAGGAGCAGCTGGTGAGCTTAAATCACCGATCTTGCAGTTCAAACGAATTTGCAGTCTGATGCGTTAGACCACAGTGCCACACCAGGACTCCTCTATAATCACTTCTATAATAAGATCTGTTTTAAAAGGGGCTCTGGTAGTGTAGTGGTTACGAACCTCAGGACTGCTAACCTCAGGGTCAGCAGTTTGAAACTACCAGCTGTTCTGTGGGAGAAAGATGAGACTTTGTGCTCCCATAAAGATTTACAGCCTCGGAAACCCTGTACAGGGGTCGCCGCTATGAGTCAGAAGTGACTCTACAAGTTTCCTGGGTGTGTGGCTTGTTTCCATTATATTCGTCGACATTTCGAGCAAAACGTCCTGCTTTCTGCTGGCTCTGGAACCTCAGGTTCTTTAGACGTGAGCCAGTGTGTCTACTGCCTGCGGACCCTGGGATTCCTCAGTAGTCTTCCATCTTACCTGCCTGACCTGCCTTACCTGTCTGTGACCTGCCCATCTTGGTTCATCAGCCCTGCAGCTAAGTGAGTCAGAAGCCACCAGCCTGACATCTAACCAAGAGACTTGGAACTTGTCCACCTCTACAACCGGGTGAGTCATTTCCTTGACAAAAACTTCTCCTTATAGATAGATGTGGGCGGTGGGCTAGATCACAAAGGGTGTGGATTTCTCCTTTGAAGTTGTCAGAGGCCCTGGGATGGATGTTTGCCTGAAGTTGCCATCTTGTCACCAGAGCAAAATGTCAGTTAACGTCCATATACACATAGCATATGTATATCATATATGTTGTTGTTAAGTGCCGTCAAGTCGGTTCTGACCCATAGCGACCCTGTACAAGGTTTCCGAGGCTGTAAATCTTTACGGGAGCACAAAGCCTCATCTTTCTCCCGCTGAGCAGCTGGTAGTTTCAAACTGCTGACCTTAAGGTTTGCAGCCCGATTTGTAACCACTACGCTACCAAAGCTCCTTTTATGATATATAGTACCACATATATATATGTTAAGTGCCATTGAGTCAGTTCCAACCCAGAGCAACCCTATATAGGGTTTCCAAGGAGCGGCTGGTGAGCTTGAAGCACTGACCTTGGGTTCAAACTGACTTTACAATCGAGCACATTAACCCACATGGCCACACCAGGACACCACTTGGTAGTAATAGTGGTGGCGTTTAACTCAGCAGAACAACCCATGTTAAGTCCAGTGGATTCTGATTTATAACGACCCTATAGGACAGAGTCCTGGTGTGGCACTGTAGGATAAGCACTGGTCATTTGAATTGCAAAGACGGCGGTTCAAACTCACAAGCCACTCTTCCTTCAGTAACCCTATACAGGGTCGCTATGAGTCCACAGCACTTGACAACAAAATATTTGCAGAAGCTGACGGCCTCATCTTTCTCTGGGAGCTGCTAGGTTGTAACCACCAACCTTTCCATCAGCTGACCAGCACTTAGCCGCTCCTTTAAACCAGCAGACCCTATCCTAAAATAATGAGAAATAAGGTAGCTGACTCCTCCTGGTGGTCACTTCACACTCTCAAACTAGGCTCTCAGACATCCGAACCACATTCCCCAGTCCCAATGAAGGCAGCGGCTGGTGCCAACATCCACGAGGGAATTTGGAGAATAAGGCTAGGTTAATTCGCCTGAGCCGGTCCCAAAGTAGCTCTGGGGTTGAGGTGGGCTCTGAAGTGCCTGGGATCCGACATTGCCTTGTCCTCACGATGGGTTCCTAACTCTGGATTCCTTGTCATCATCTGCCTGGTTCACAGTGACTTTGGGGTCGGAGACTTGAGAGGAGGGCCACGTAGTCCTCAAACCTTCGGCTCCCCTATGGGGCAGCTGCTCGACGGGAGGGCAACCAAGCACCTGTGTGGAGTGGCTTTCCGCCCGGTAGGGAGGGCGCGCGCGCGCTCGGGTCCAGGGATGCTGACTCAGCCCCGCGGCTCACATCCCTTTCGCGCAACGCGGATGCTGGAGTTGCAGCAGCCACAAAGTGGCGGGTTGGAACCCAGACACCCAGTGCAGCCCTGCCGCTCGCTCCCTAGGGCCCGTTGCGGCACTCGCGCCTCCCTCCCCCGGAAGGGTGCGCGAGTTGACGAAATTGGGGGAAGTGGGCGCTGAAGGAGGAACTAGGGGTTTTCGACGCCGCGCGCGCGCGCAGCTCACACCCAAACTGGAAGGAACCTGTTCTACTCTGGGCGGGCGCGGAGCCGCCACCGCCGCGAGCACCGCGCGGAACCAGCCCCGGCGCGCGCGCGCCCTCTAGTCCCCAAATCTGCGGGGCTGGGCGGTGGTCGTTTAAGAAGGCTGCGGGTGGGGAGCAGCTCAGGATCCCCCCCGTGCGCGCTCACGCTGGGCCGGGAGTGCACGGAAAGTGGCGGGCGCCCCCGAGCACCCCCCGCAGGCTCGCGCTCCACACTAGCATTGCATCTAAGCGCCCGGGGCTGGCCCAGCTCTGCGCCCACCACGGCGCCTGGGGACTGCAGGGGAACGGCATGTCAGGGCCCCCTGCGGCACTGACGGGGACAGTCCCGTGGGATCCCGTGGCGGACGGCGACAGCGTTGCCATTACCTTCCGTGACCCCCCAGCCTGAGACTCGGGCGCGCGCCGCGCGGCCCCGGTCCACGTGGGCGGGCGCGCGCTCGCCAAGCCGGCCCTCTCCGCTGCACTCGGCGCTCACAGCACATGGTCGGCGGCGGCGCGCCCCCGAGGCCGGCGGAGACCGGCTGAAGCCGGTATAGGATAAGAGATAGGCAGCGACTAGGGACCGGGGCGCGGGCAGCGGCACGCTCAGCCCGGGCACAAGCGGCTGGGGTGGGGGGCGGGGGGCGGGTGTGGCGAGGGCACCCGAGGTGGGGGGCTGGGCCGAGGCACCGCCGACCCCGCGCGCTGGGCTCTCCTGCCTGAATCAACTTGGGATAGATTCAAGGCCGCGCCCTAAGGGGTTAAACGCGTTCTCCTGTTCCGGAGAAGGTTATAAGAAGGGGGAGGCCGAACCTCTGTCTTATTGGGAGTCTTTGGGGGTTTATTCTTTGCCCTGCTAACTTGGTGAGTTGGTTTTATTATTTAACATGTTTTAAAGTTTGATTGTGGGGTGTGGGTTGGATTTTTGTTTTCATCTGTGTTGGGGACTTTTTTTTTTTTTTTTTTGGTGGGGGAGGCGGAGGAAATCACTTAACATCTTAATATTTTCGAGAGGTTATTGCGAAAAATATTCTGACAGTTGGGAATATTCAAGGCCACCAAAATGACGCGCTCTCCAGGGTAGACAGCTGGGAGTTGGCAGTCCCTGACCCTGATAGTTTGGGGTCAGAAAAAAATACATATGTAAAGGGCTGATTTTAAGGACTTCCCGGCCCTGGGTCAGGGCTCCAGACCACTGGACAAGGTGCGGGCTCGGCCCCGGGCGTGGATTTCCCGCATGAAGTTGGCGGCGCGTCAGCAGAGCGAAATGTCAGGCACCGCGCGCGCGCGGCGAGCGGCCACCGAGAGAGCGCGAGAGCAAGTGGGGCGCCCTGTCTCCCCTACTCCCCGGGGCAGATTAGGTGAGCTCTCCGAGGGAAGTCTGAGGTTCCTGCAGATCGCAGGTTCTACGCCTTGAGCGTTACAGCTGTCAGCGGCGGACGGCTGATCCCGCGTAACTTCCAAGGTCTCCCGGGCTATGGGTCGCGGGAAAGCTCTTGGGCAAAGCGACCCGTTCTTTTGCTTGGGAAAGTGAGTCTGCAGAGAAAACTGGCTGCTTCCTTCTGGGCGGTTGTTTCTTGCTCTGTTTTTCTTAACTCTCTGAAACAGGCAGGTGATACAAATTTGTGAGGTGGCATGTAAAATGTCACCCAACACGGGAAGTAGAGGTAGTCCGTCTTAGTAAATGGACTCGGAGCCAACTGGGGAAGAGCAATTCGAACTAGACAACCTGGAAGCCGGTGGGTTTGCAGTTAGGTGCTCTTGCCCGCTCCTCGCAGGGAAGCGGTTTCTATCTACCCTGGGAAAGATTTCTCCAGTTTTTGCAAATCATAGTAAGATGGGTGTCTTGCTCAAAAAAAAAAAAAAAGTCAGTTGAAATCTCTAAGTGCCGCATGCCCCGTGTCCAAAGCACCATTCCATGACATGTTTATGGTCAAAAACAAATCCTTTCTAAGAATAGGAGCATAGAAATGTCTCTTCTGCTAAAAAGAAGGGTTCTTCACAGAAAGAACAGTCGAAATAAACTATACAGCCCGGTAGGAAAGCTGCTATCTTAACAAGCACCCGGAACATTAAGCAGCTCTCTGGTCTCCCAGAACTTCTGAGGGGGACCTTCAAATGAGTGCCTTGGGTTTCAACCTTAAAATGGGTGAGTGTGAACTGCCGACCTTGGGATTAACAGTCCAGTGTTTTTCCTACAGCACCACAGCAGGATTCCAACATTGTATCTGATAGTGGCGGTTGTGTGCCGAGTAAATCTTTACGGGAGCAGAAAGCCTCCTCTTTCTCCTGAGGAGTGACTGGTAGATTCGATTTATTGATCTTGCAGCTAGCAGCCCAGCACGTAATCCACTACACTATCAGGGCTCCTTAACATTCTATCTGTTGTTGTTGTTATGTGCTGTGGCGTCGATTCCAACTCATAGCGACCCTGCACAGAGTTTCCAAGGCTATAAATCTTTAGGGGAGCAGAAAGCCTCATCTTTCTCCTGCGGAACAGCTGGTAGTTTCTAACTGCTGACTTTGAGGTTTGCAGCCTGATTCGTAACCACTACACTAACATTCTATCTAGATGGTCTATAATGGCCTCATCTGTTGAATTTTCCATGCCTTCAGTTCAAATCTTTTCTCAACAAATCCCATCACTTTGAAACCCTGAGGTGGAGCCGATTCCCAAGTCTTGGCAAAAGCTCCTTACCTAAGGCCACAGTTCAAGCAAATGCTAATAGAAGACAACCTGAGTTGCCCTGTCCCTATTTGTCTATTGACACTGGTGGAAGGGAAGATGGCTGCCTTCAGAACTGTAGGATTTTAGAACTGTTAAGAGCCCCAAGAGACCCATTTGATCTAATACCCTTGGTTTACAGGGTATAAAATTGAAGGATTTCGTGCTTTTCATCAAGTTGTTGTTGTTAAGTGCCGTCGAGTCGGTTTCGACCCATAGCGACCCTGAATAGGGTTTCCGAGGCTGTAAATCTTTACGGGAGCAGATCGCCTCATTTTTCTCCCGCGGAGCAGCTGGTAGTTTCTAACTGCTGACCTAACGGGTTCGCAGCCCAATTCGTAACCACTATGCTACCAGAGCCTCATCAAGTTAGTAGTAAACAAATTCAACAGCTATGGCCCGAAAATCTTAGGAAGGCAGCCATTGACCTTTACTTCTAAAGATTTTAGTGAGTTGAAAAGAGTCAGCAAGTCAGTGTCAAAGGAATTGTGGATTATTAGGGTCTGGCCAGGAGTTCTGGTGTGGTACTGCAGGATACGGCGCTTGACTGCAAGGTCAATTTGAACCGCAAGGTCGGTGGTTCAAACCTAACATACTCTCCTTGGGAATCCCATACAGGATCGCGATGGGTCAGAACCGACTCAATGGCACTTAACAACAGGGTCTGGCCAGATCTGTGATCGATTTTAGTTTAACACTCAGTGAAACTGAGTAGAAAAAATGAGGGTGAAGGAAGTGGGGATTTATCCAAGGCACAGGGCAACTTAAATGATGCAGAGTCCTGGCGTGGTGCTATAAGGTAAGCACTGGACTGCTAACCACCAGCCACTCCTCAGAAACCCTATACAGGGTCACTGTGAGTCAGAACCAACTTGATGGCACTTAACAATATCCCCACACAACAAATGTAGACTCCTTCCCACCAGATAGACAAAAGGGACAGATAACTTCAGTATTGTGGAATTTGTAGAGGTTTCCAAGTAACTGAGTTCAAAATTCAGTCCTGGGTTACTTGCTTTGTTTGCAGAGGTGGACGGGTTTGGGAAAGGATTTATTCTATACTGAGGGGCTTCGCTTTCTGCCTTGATTTTTTAAGGACAGAGCTATGTTTCTTCAGGAGCACCCTAAGACTCCTAAACAAAACCACTGTTTTTGGGTCAAATCCAGCAGAGTAGAATTGCTCCAGAGGGTTTCCAAGATTAAATCTTATGGGAGTAAACTGTTCTGTCTTGGAGCGACTTGTGGGTTTGAACCTCCATCCTTGCAGTTACCAGCCCAATAACTAACCCACGGCGCCACCAAGGCTCTTCCTACTTTGCTTGTTGTTAAGTGCCTTCAACTCATAGCGACCCTGAATAGGGTTTCTGAAGAGCAGCTGATGGGTTTGAACCACAGTCCAGTACTTATCTAACTCTGCTTCGTGGTCATGGGCATGATGTGCCGTGGACTCGGTTCCTACTCATAGTGACCCTGTACAGCGGTTTCCGAGACTGTAAATCTTTACAGGAGGAGAAAGCCTCACCTTTCTCCTGTGGAACAGCTGGTAGTTTGGAACTGCTGACCTTAAGGGTCGCAGCCTGATTCATAACTACTATGCTACCAGAGGTCCTTTTACGCTGCTTAATAAGTGTTTATTGAGCATATCTTAAACCAAACCTACAGCCATGGAGTCAGTTCCTAAAGGAGAAAGTAGAACTGCTCCACAGAGTTCACAGGAACAGCCAGCCTCATCTTTCTCCTAGTGAGCTGCTGGTGAGTTTGAACCATTAACCTTTTCATTAACAGCCCAGTTAGTTCCAGTGTATTTTCATTCAGGTGGGCCCCGTACTTTCCATAGGACTTGAAGACCGCCCTTCTCACCCTTCTGGGATAGAGTAATGAAGCCCATGTGATCTTAGATTTCACCAATTTGTCCTGACTGATTGTCAGGGATGTAGTGGGCAGGGCTGTACTCTCTTAAGTACAATGGATTCAGTCCTGAGGTTTCTTATTATCAGCAGCAAATCATGGTGTCCGGCAGACTAGCATCCCTGTAGATACTTTGTTGAATATATAAATAAAAACTGTGTGCAGGGTACTATGGGAAATACAGGGATGTAGGCCCCAGACTTCCTTTTCTCAGAGGGTATATTTTGTTAAGTGTCATTGAGTTGGTTCCGACCCATAGCGACCCTCTACAGGGTTTCCGAGGCTGTAAATCTACAGGAGCAGAAAGCCTCATCTTTCTCCCATGGAGCAGCTGGTAGTTTTGAACTGCTGACCTTGCAGTTTGCAGCCCGATTCGTAACCACTACGCTACCAGAGCTCCTTCATTGTTGTTGTTGTTGTTGTTGTTGTTGTTGTTGTTAAGTACTGTGGAGTCGGTTCTGACTCATAGCAACCCTGCACAGGGTTTCCGAGGCTGTAAGTCTTTACAGGAGCAGAACACCTCTTCTTTCTCCCGCTGAACTGCTGGTAGTTTTGAACTGCTGACCTTGAGGTTAGCAGTCTGATTCGTAACCACTATGCTACCAGAGCTCCTTTGCTACCAGAGCCCCTTCATAGTTTGAGTAAATTAGAGTTATACATAAACGTAATCCAGACCCCCCCGACCCTTAAAGATACGTGGCACTTGAGCTGTCATTAAGGATAGAGCCCCTTGGGTTGACTTGGTTGAAGGATGCATTCTGGAGATGTCAGGATTTGATGGAGCGTGGCCTGAAAGGTCAGATTATGTTGACGATGAACCCTTGTAGTGCAGTGGCTAAGGGCTCCATGCTAACCGAAGAGTTGTTGATTCAAGCCCCCCCAATGGCTCTGCAGGAGAAAGACTTGGGGGTCTGCTTGCGTAACCCTCTTGCTGTTGCGTTGAGCGTTACTCATAGTGACTCTGTGATAAGTGCCATTGAGTTGGTTCCAACTCAATTACCCTTGATAGGGTTTCCAAGGAGCAGGTGGTGGGTTTGAACTGCTGACTTTGTGGTTAGCGATCCAGTGATTATTCTGCAGTGCCTGTCATCTTTATGGAAAGGACTCCTGGTGGCGCTGTGGGTTAGGTGTTGGACTGCCATCTTCAAGGTCAGTGGTTCAAACTCAGCAGCGGCCCTCTGGAAAGATTTTCGGTCTGGGAAACCCTATAGAGGATCGCTGTGAGTTGGACTCGACTCGGTGGCAGTGGACACATCTTTGTGGAAGCAGACTGTCCCATCTTTCTTCTCTGGAGCAGCTGGCAGGTTCAAACCACAGGCTTCTCGGGTAGCACCTCTTTCCTCCATAAGACAAAAGCAGCATGCCAGCTATTGGGGACATCCCCGTAGGGAGAAGGCCATGCCCAAAGGGGCGATTAGAGCCAGTCCAGTGAGGTCAGGGAGAAATGCAATTACAAAGATAGGTTGGGATCCAATCATGAATGATACTGTAAGTCGCTATCGTTAACATAAGTAGCTGTACGCTTTCAGAAGAGGGATGGTGCTGGTGGTTATGTGTCAAGGAGTCACTTCCAACTCATGTTGTTGTTGTTGTTAGAGCTGTCGAGTCAGTTCTTATCCATAGCAACCCTGTATAGGGTTCCTGAGGAGCCGCTGGTGAGTTGAACCGCCCACCTTGCAGTTCATACGGCTTTGCAGTCTGGCTTACTAACCCACAGTGCCACACCAGGACTTCCTTGTGACCCTATACTGAGTTTCTTTAAGGAAGCAGAAAGCCTCATCTTTCTCCCATGGAGCGGCTAAAAGATTCGAACTGTTGACCTTGAAGTTAGCAGCTCAGCACATAATCCAATACACTAACCGAGCTCCTTAAAGAAAGAGGAAAGGCGTTGGGAAAATCTGAGCAGGAAAAATGTCACAATACAGCATTTCACAAAGATTCACAGCTCCGGTTACAAAGAACCAGTTAAGAAGCTATTAAAGGGCCGGCCTTGCAGAGAACGAATAGGCTGGTAGGTGGTGAATTACAGTTCCATCCAGTTGATTTTGACTCACAGGAAGTGGAAATGTTCCTAAAAGTTAAGGATGCAACAGCCAGTGGCCCACCACCACTTGTCCTCCCCTCCACACCCCAGCAGGGTCAAACACGGTTCTGAAGTCATCACTGGACATTACCGAGTGTTACTGAAGGGTCTGTCTTCCCGAGCTAAACCCTGGTGCTGTTTTCCTTCTTCCAGCAGCCTTCTCCTTCCTGAAAGTAACTTCTGGAAGATTGGTGTAGGGGAGGTTGTGGTGGAAACCTCAATTGCTGGAGGGCTCCTGGTTCCCGTCTTAAGTCACTTGCTTTCCACATCAGTGATGCTAGTCTACATCTTGAACTATTTACCAGCCCTTCCCATCTTGTCATTTACTCTCAAGCATGACACATCGACATACATCAAAAGGAAAAGCTTCTTAAAGTATCTTGTTGGTATGGGCCCCTGAGTCGATTTCGACTCATAAAAACAAAACAAAAAACCCACATGGTCATTAAGTTGATTCTGACTCATAGCGACCCCACAGGGTTTCCTAGGCTTTACGCGTCTTTATGGGTTCAGACTGGCCTTTCATTCAGCCCCCCAGCGCTTTAACCACAATGCCACCAAGGCGCCTTTTCTTCAATGTTAACGGACAGGATTATAATAGTCAAGTGACTAAAAAGTCTGTTATTTGGTCTTTTTTCATTTGTTAAATAGTAATTCTAACCTGTTCTTCAGCAAGAGTTTTAGAATCATCAGCCCTCGTGCTATTGCTGGTCTGAATGCTTTTGTCTGTTTACTTTTTATTTCAGATCAAGAATGACCCAAAAGCCATCGAAGTTTTGTTTCAGAGCCAATGTTTACACTCAAGTGCCTGATGGAGGATGGGGCTGGGTAGTGGCTGTCGCCTTTTTCTTCATTGAAGTTTTCACCTATGGCATCATCAAAACCTTTGGTGTCTTCTTTAATGACTTAATGGACAGTTTTGGTGAATCTAATAGCAAGATCTCCTGGATAGTATCAATATGTGTGTTTGTCTTAACATTTACAGGTTAGTACAGGACTAAGTTTAAGCCCCTTTACATAGATACACTTATGTACGCAATATACCTGGGGTGTTCATGACATGTTCCCTTTTGTGGCCTGCTAGCCCTTTCTAGCCTTAGTTGAGTGATGAGGGTTTTCTGGGGGGTGGGGAGTGGGGAGACAAGACGGACTGAAGGAGAAAGTCCTGTTTGCCAACTTTAACTGCCTTCAATTTTACACACATATGAGGGCTTCAAAATGTTCGTTAAAGAATCCCATTATTTTTATAATTCCATTCTTCCCTGAACTTTTTGAGGGCCCCTCATATATAAACACCCACTGCTTGCAGACTCTTCAGATACTGTAGCTGACCGTAAGGAGAGCAGGGAATGTAATCATCTTCTAAAGAAGTACCATCTGAAATACACACTGGTCCCTGCATACTTCCTGACAGGCCTCATTTGACTAGGCAGATAGATGAGGGTTGTCTTTTAGGCAAACAGACAACCATACCTTTCTCCCTCAGAAAGGCTGCTGGGTTCAAACCAAACTTTCATTTAGCATCCCAGTGCTTCAATCATTGTGACCCAGGGCTCTTTTCATTAAATGTTAGGAGACATGTTGGCAGCTGCACCAAGGTTTCTGGGAAAACCAAGCTGTTGCACATACTTCAGAAAGTTGACCTTAAACATCCCGAACATCACCCTGATGCTCTATTACACACTGCTGTCTCAAGTTACCTAAACCTTCTGTCAGTGGAGTTAGTTGCTGCCATAGAATAGCTTAAAGCAGCAGCCCCATCTGTTTGTACCTACTGGGCAATTTCCCCAACAAGTCATAATAATGTCTCCTGCAAGTCTCATGGAATAGCTCCAATTTCGTTGAACTGAGCGCTATCCAGTCCTGAATCACCACCATGTTTGTCTGTGGTTCACAGGGTTTGCATTGGTTGGTTTTCCGAAGATCACCAGCTCCTTTTTTCCTCGTCTCTCTTAATCTAGAAGCCCTACTAAAACCTATTCAGCGTCATTGTTGTTGTGGTTAAGTGCTGTTGAGTTGGCTCTGACTCATAGCAACCCTGTAGAGGGTTTCCGAGGCGTTAAATCTTTGTGGGAGCAGAAAGCCTCATCTTTCTTCTGTGATTAAACTTGGCGCTCCACACAGAAGGCAGTAATAATTCTATCACGGGATTGCTACTGCCTTCCATTTTGAGTAGTAAAATATTTCTTTTTTTAGACTGTGGAATGTTTACTGTCTCAGGTAATTTAAATAAAGGAGAAGTAATACTTCACAACACTCAGACATCTATATAAAGAGAAACCCCCTCTTTTCTACCCGAAGATAACAATATTGTCATTAAGTTTCTAGTCATTTAATTTCTACTATTTAATTCTTGTTGTTACGTTCCATCAAGTTGATTCTGACTCAAAGCAACTCTGTAAAGTGGCTGGTAAGTTTGAACCCTCAACCTTGTGGTTAGCAGTCCAGTGCTTATCCTACAGCGCCACCCTAGGACTTCTTTTCGTATTTTAGTAGCTAATGCTTTGAACCAACATACGGCCTAAAAAAATCACAATAATTTCATTATGAGCTCTATTCAGTATGACTTTGCATTCTACTAATCTACATAATCGAACAAACCCAAGCAAAATAGAACCCTTGTATTTTTCCTGCCCCTTCACACGTAAGTCACCATAAATTGAACATGCCACAACTAGAATGGAATTCGACCCAGTGTGTTCTGTGTTTGCCCCTTCTTCCAACTGGTCACATCTGAGCATATCCAAGTTAATGTTAGCCGGAGTAACATATAAGTAAGAAACTCATTTACTGTGTTAAAATGTGCAAGGTAGTGTGGGGGGGGACGGTCTTTCATTGGTGGTTGTGTTTGAATTTTCACTTTCTATGTTGAACTCGTGGTGTGGCATTGTAGGATCAGTGAACCACAAGGTCGGCAGTTCAAGCCCACCAGCCGCTCCTCAAAAACCCTATACAGGGTTGCTATGAGTCAGAACCTACTTGACGGCACTTAACAATAACAACATGCGAGGGTCTCAGGTTTGAGCCCTGAAACGTGTACCTCATACACAGCCACTTCCCACCTGATCAAGCAGGTCTGCATGTTGCTGTGTGTCTGAACAGGATTCAGCAGAGCTGCCCGACAACAGAATGGACTAACCAGAAAGCCATGTCGATTTCCTTCTGAAACTCAGCCCGTGAAAACCTTACGGAGCACAATTGTCCATCTGTAATTGATCATGGCGACTGACCAGATGGTGTTTCACTTTGCTGTGCCACGGGGTCACCATGAGTTGGGGATCCGTTCAACAGTGGCTAACAACAAGAGAGCTTGATAGAGCCTAGAACTAAGCAAAGTACTAATATAATTCCTCAGTCACTCTGACAAAGCCTCCTGTAGATATAACTCAGAAGTGACCATATTCCTTTCCAGAAGTTTCCAATGAAGCGAGGATTTGACCCTAAATTTGTTGTTAAGTGCTGTCAAGTCGGTTCCAACTCATTGCAACTCTGCTTAGGGTTTCCAAGGAGTGACTGGTGTGTCTGAACCACCAGCCTTCCAGTTCAAGCTGACCTTGTGGTCCATTTCTAAGTAGAACTTTGTGAAAAGAATCCAGTCAATGAGTAGAGAGAGCAAAGAATTCAGGTGATTGTTTTTGCTTCAGAAACTTAAAAGTGAACCAATTTTTCATAAACCATCTTGTTTATAGGAAAGCCAGCTGGTTTCAAGGAATGACTTCAATATATACCTAACTTTGTAAGCATTTCTTAGTGAGTCAAAATCTTCCATCTAAAAAGATAAATACAAGTTTTAGACAATTACTCTGACTTGCTTGCTTGTTAAGGAGCCTGGAGAGTATTTCCAATTTGAACAAATAACTTCTAAAAAGTCCTTAAGTGACTTAAATGGCCATTGAATGGAATTTATGATATGTTTTCCACTGCTTGGCTGTGTTCATACGGCGCTGTGGGACAAAGCCCTGGATCTCAAGGTTGGTTTGAACCACAGGGTCAATGGTTCAAACTCATCAGCTACTCCTTGGAAACCTTAACTACACAGGGTCGCTGTGAGTCGGAACCGACTCGATGACGCTTAAAGGCAGCAGCAACAATTCTATGTTTGAGACTTGAAAGGAGGAATTGTACTGTGGCTTTTATGAGTTAAAATATGAATTTTTATTCTTTGAATACAGCCCCCCTCACTACAGTCCTGAGCAACCGTTTTGGACACCGGCTGGTGGTGGTCATTGGAGGGCTGCTTGTCACCACAGGAATGGTGACGGCCTCGTTTTCACAGGCTGTTTACCACATGTACATCACAGTTGGGGTCATCTCTGGTAAGTGTTTTCTCCTGGCGACAAAAGTTCCCCCAGGTACTTCGTTTCATACGTTTGCCCAGCTTAGATACCCTGAGTAGTGCAGAAAGAGTGCAGCCACCAAAATCTCATGGAGCAGTTTACCCTACACACGTGGGGTCGTCAGGCATCAGAATCAAGTGCAGTTAGCAAAAGCCATCCATCAGAGTGTATTTCTCTCTTGTTGTTTTTTTTTTTTTTGTCTCTGAAACTAGATCATTGTGGGTTCTGAACTGGGGGTCTGGGAGACCCCTCCTGAACTGTTTCTGTGTGACTGTGTAAAAGTCCACCAACAGTAACATCCTTTATGCTTTCTTTTGCATCTGAAAGATACCAGATCTTTGAATGCATCCTTCGAGTATCCGAATGTGGTTCTCAAGTGTGTTTTCACTTTCTTTCACAGGTCTGGGATACTGCTTCAGCTTCCTGCCGGCTCTAACTATTCTGTCTCAGTACTTTGACAGAAGGCGCTCTGTGGTGACTGCCGTTGCTTCTACGGGAGAATGTTTTGCTGTTTTTGGTTTTGCACCAGGTACGTGGACCATAGGAGGCTGCCTAGTCCTGCCATCGGCAGTCACTCAGCCATTGTCCGTCATTGGTCAGCTAAGGGATAACATGAACGGTCTGTCTAATGAAAGGTTCATGAGCCTGGTGGCACAACAGTTAAGCCCTTGGGTGCTAACAAAAGGTTGCTGGATTCAAACCCACTCAGTAACTCTGCCCGTGAAAGTCCTGGTGATCTTGTCCTGTAAAGATTGTTATCATTCAATGCCATCAAGTCATTTTCGACTCTTAGTGACCCCGTATAGGGTTTCTGAGGCTTTTAAATTTTTTTGCGGGAGCAGAAAGCCTTATCTTGCTCCCGCAGGGTAGCTGGCAGGCTCGAACTACGGACCTTGTGATTCATAGTCCAGTGATTATTGTATGGAGCCACCGAGCTACTGCTGTAAAATTACAGCCTAGGAAACACTATGGAACACTTGACTCTGTTCTATGGGGTAGCTAACAACAGCAACAAAGGTTTTTTACTTTCTGTTTCCCAGCACATTTTTAGGGTTGCTGTGAGTCAGAACCCACTCGATGGCATTTAACAATAAAACCCCTCCGTAATTCTCATTTGAAGAATTCAAACCATTTAAATAACAGTCTACTCATATATGAGGGGCCTTCAAACAGTTTGTGGAAAATGGAATGAAAAAGTCATGAATGGTTCCCACAAATTCTTAGAAGCCCTCCTCTGCTGTCCAGTTGGTTCCGGCTCGTCGTGACCCTCAGGGACAGAGTGGAACTGCTTCATAGGGTTCCCAAGTCTGTCATTGTTAAGGGAGTCCTGGTGTGGTGCTGTGGGCTAATGTGCTGGACTGAAAGGTCGGTTTGAACCACCAGATTGGCAGTTCAAGCTCACCAGCCACTCCTTGTTGTTGTTGTTGTTAAGTGCCGTCGAGTCGGTTCCGACCCATAGCGACCCTGTACAGGGTTTCCGAGGGTGTAAATCTTTACGGGAGTAGAAAGCCTCATCTTTCTCCCGCGGAGCAGCTGGTAGTTTCGAACCGCTGACCTTAAGGTTCGCAGCCTGATTCGTAACCACTACGCTCACTCCTTAGAAACCCTATAAAGGGTTGCTATGAGCCAGAACGAAGTTAACAAACAGTCTTTATGGGAGTACATTGCCCCATCTTTCTCCCTCAGAATAGGTGCTGAGTTGAAACAACTTAGCTCTCGGTTGGTGCCCAAGTACTTAACCACTAAGCACCAAATCCAGCGGCCATCATCTGTGTTTATATAACTAGGGCAGTAATATGATATACGTTCAATAATAAGGCTTGGAACATGCATTTCAAAATGAAAATGTTCCAACTGTTGTTTCTCTCCTTTGTTAAAAGAGGGGCCCTGCTGGCACCATGGGTCAAGCATTGGATTGCTAACCAAAAGCTTAGTGGTTCAAACCCACCAGCTGCTCTTCAAGAGGAAGATGCAGCTGTCTGCTCACATACAGTCTCTGAAACCCCCTGGAGCACTTCTGCTCTGCCCTGTAGGATTTGCTATGAGTCCAACTGACTTAGTGGCCGTGGATGGTCTTTTTCTTGTTAAGAGTGAGTTTCAATGTGGGTTTAAATTGTGCTGATAAAGTGTGTGGGTAATCTCATAGCAAACTCTTCACCCCTGGTTTAATTCCCCAATATTAGATTAGCCTTTGTGTGTGAATTGAGCTCTGGCAAGCAGTTGAGGGACCACCTGGGAGGCCCATGTGCTTTTGAAGAGGCCCTGCCTCTTCCTGAAGAATGTGTGGCTTTTCTCCCACGGGGATACCTGTGCAGGTGTTTAGGGGTATGATATGCCATAATGTCTGCAGCTTTTGAAAAGATTTGGGACAATGAATGTGTGTGTTAATAAATGAGTGTAGAGAGAGACACAGGCAGACAGACTGGGGAAAATGGTTTATAGTTCAGCGTCAGTGCTGGGCGGTCAGATCGGTGTCATTCTTCTGTGGTGGGCTGACAGTTTTCAAAAGTAAATGAGAGAAAGACCAGGTGGGCTGTGAAGAGGCTGAAGGGGGAGGTGGTGTTGAATTCTGTCAAGTCACTTCTGACTCATAGCAACCCTGTGTAGGCTTTCCAAGGAGTGGCAGGTGGATCTGAACCACCAACCTTGTGGTTAGCAGCCCAGTGCCTAACCAGCCGTGTCACCAGATGAATATAAAGCACTCTGAAAGAGCCAGGAACACAAAGGACAGATAACCTTTCATTAGACATGTAACGGAAGACATATGTTAGCAGGTGTTTTACAATTCAGCGTTTTCCACTAAAGGTAAGGGTAACAAGAGGTGTGAGCAGAACATGCTACTAAATTCACTGGCACTTCAGCCAAGAGACTGAGCCTGAATTCTGATGAATCCAGTCACAGTCCGGAAGTCAGAGACAGGAATGTGAAATTACAGGCACACCGCAGAGCTAGAGGGCCCATTCCGTTCCAGACCACCATTATAAAGCAAGACACAGATTTTTTTTTTTTTTTTTTCGGTCTCTCCCAAAAATGTTACATTTACACTCTGCATATGTGGAAGAAAGAATTATGAAGAGCGATGAGAATTGTAGGAGACTTGGAATCAATTAGTCCTATGAACTAGTGGAACATGTGAACATCAGTCTCCGGGACTCTGAGACCAGAAAAATTAGATGATGCCCAGCTGTCACTACCAACTGCTCTGAAAGGGATCACGTTAGATGATCCCAGATAGAGTGGGAGGAAAATGTGGAACAAAATGCACAATGTTTTCATTTAAAAAAGAGACCGGGTTTACTGGTCCGAAAGAGATTGGAGGAACCAGAGACTGTGGCCCTCAGTCCACTCTGCAGGACTGGCCCATTTTTCAGCCCAGCATAGACAGGTTCATGGCGAGCGGACAGCAACACTAGTAAGGTATGCTGACCATGGCATGGTCTGTCATTCAAAAGCACAAGGGCAACATTTTCCTAAGAACAAAATTGAGAAGGGATGGAAAGGTGGTTGGAATGCAAAAAAATAAGAACCGAGGGAGGAAGCGGCATAACTTTTGTTGCAGGGAGGGGATTGCAATCATTGAGATGAGAGAAAAAAAACCAGTTACATTATGAAAAGGTTTGCCGTATTGTTAGACTTACACACAGAGACATGAAGCGGATGCATGCTGTTGAGACTTGTTCAACAACAACAACGAAAAGCAATATCTATCTCCACCTGCAGTAAAACAGAGCGCAATAACATGAGGTGTGTCTGTAACAATAAAGGGACCCGAGACGAAGGCGAGACTTAAGGTCTTGTGGGGCCTGTGGCATCCCATTGCGGTACTTGTGCTTTCTCTGACCATATCCTCCGTCTTACATTCTTGTGCCCAGCCCACCCTCCAGGCTGCCGCTGGTCAGCAGCTTGTTGTTATTCTTAGGTGCTATCGAGTTGGACAAAATACTGCCCTGTCCTGTGCAAAGCTCACAATCAGTGCTGTGCCTAAGCCCATCACTGCCACCACTGTGCCGATCCATGTCGTTGAGGGTTTTCCTGTTTTTCTCCAACCCTCCACTTTAGCAAACATTGATAACCTTCTCCAGACACTGGCCCCTCCTGGTAATATACCTGAAATATGATGGATGAAATCTGGCCATTCTGGCTGTACTTCTTCAACACAGATTGGTTTGTTCTTTTGGCAGTCCATGGTACTTTAAATATTCTCCTCCAACACCATTACTCAAATGCATCGATTCTATGGTCAGCAACCTAGGCTCCAATTTAATGGCAGGGAGAAGAACTTAGAAACTGGAGATCATTTCATTCTGGGATGATGTGTCATTTCATTCTGAGATGATGGTTTTTCAGCTTTTTCCATTTTTAACATTTCAATCTATGACTCCTAAGGATTGAATACGTGTGTGTATAATAATACAGATCCGAGAGCTACAAACTCTTTTTGTAAAAGACCACATAGTAAATATTTTAGGCTTTGCGAATTAGATGGTCTCTGTGGTAAATACAGCACAAAGCGGTGACCCACGCTTTGAGCCAAGGACATTGCTGTGGCCCTCGAGCCGCAATTTGCAGAACTCTGACGTGAATCACACACGTATTTTGCCTCTTGTGCCTCCACAAATGCCCCCTCCCAAGCTCGCTGTGACCTGAGCTGAAAATGTTTCGTAGATTATCATCACCAGGCACGTTTTCATGGGGTTTTTTTAATACACAAAGGCATGAAAACTAAGAAAGCGGATAGCACAGATTGATTGCATTCATGCTGCTAAGTACATTGTCCTGTATTTTTAAAGAAAAGACGGCTCCATCTGAATCCGTATGTCTTCTTTCTCTCTCTCTTTCCTTCCATTTTCTTTCTCCTTTGTACCTGCCTCTTGAAGCAATCACAGCCCTGAAAGAGAGCATCGGCTGGAGGAACAGTCTCCTTTTGGTGGGTCTGCTCCAGTTGAACATCGTCGTCTGTGGGCTGCTGCTAAAACCAATTATTATTCAAGCCCGAGGGTCACCGAAAACAGCCACCCAGGAACATGGAAAAGAAGTGCAATCTATGCTTGAAAACGAGAAATCGCGCACCTCAATGGAGTCTATCGACTCAGGAGTAGAACTAACTACCTCGCCGAAAAATGGGCCAAGTCACGTGAACGTGGAATTGGAGCCCAAGGCCCACATGCAGCAGAACCTGGTGAAGAGCAGCTCTAGGCCAGGCAATAAGAAGGCCCCATTGTTAGACTTCTCGATTTTGAAAGACCAAAGTTTCATCTGTTACGCACTGTTTGGTCTCTTTGCTACACTGGGATTTTTCGCACCTCCGCTCTACATCATTCCTTTGGGAATCAGTCTGGGCATTGAAGAGGACCGGGCTGCTCTCCTGTTATCCACCATGGCAGTTGCTGAAGTTTTTGGAAGAATCGGAGTTGGCTTGGTCCTCAACAAGGAGCCCATTCGTAAGATCTACATTGAACTCATCTGCGTCATCTTACTATCTGTGTCGTTGTTCGCCTTTACTTTTGCTACTGAATTCTGGGGGCTGATGTTCTGCAGCATATTCTTTGGCTTTATGGTTGGGACAGTAGGCGGTACCCACATTCCACTGCTGGCTGAAGATGATGTTGTGGGGATTCAGAAGATGTCTTCTGCAGCTGGAGTCTATGTCTTTATACAGAGCATATCAGGACTGGCTGGTCCACCCCTTGCAGGTAGGTTATCTGAACACACGAAATACAAACCCTTGTCTACGATCCCCTTATTAGTCACTGGGCTAGCTTCCCCTTCCATTCTAATAATAAAGCTCCTGGTTTTTAGACCCACATGGGTTTGTACAATTGCATCAGGTGCTCAGTGGTAGAATTCTCACCTTCTGTGAGGGATACCCAGGTTTGATTCCCAGCCAGTACACCTCAAGCATATGTGTGGCTATGAAACTGAGCAGGTTTCAATGGAGCTTCTAGACTGGGGAAGACTAGGAAGAAAGACCTGGTGATCTGTTTTCCAAAATCAGTCAATGAAAACCCTATGGGACCCAGTGCTCCAAATCTCTAACCTCATCATGGGGACGGAGCAGGACCGGGCAGTTTCATTCAGCCATCGGTTTGGCAGCTAACTCAAACAAACTGAAGATGGTACGAGCCATCCCTCTCAGTTTCAATATGAGGAAACTTGAAGCCAAAGATTTAAGCCAAAGGTCATAGGATAAATCAGTGGCCAAGTCAGAATTAGAGCCTGCATCTGGCAGTCTAGGCTAGCCTAAGACATTACTTCTGGACAGGTGTTTGCAACCCTGAGCAAATACTCCATTAACTGCTCTAGAGCCTTTTCTTACAGGAGAGACAAAGTAGGCTTCGTAGCTTAGATCTGAAATAGGTCTTTAAAGTTACTGTGATTTGAAATCCTATTACATGTTAAAAAATACCTAGAATGAATGCAAATGAAAATAATAGCTTTTTCCTTACTTCAGAATATTATATTTCCTAAAATAAGCATGCATCTAGCTGCCTCATATGTTAGCTCTCCACCGGGACAGATGTGGTTCGTGAAAAACAAGTTGTTGTAAGTGCTGGTGGTCAGTTCCAACTCAGAATGAAACACTGCCCGGTCCTGCTCTGCCCTCACAGTGCTGCTGCCACTGTGCCAATCTGTCTCTTTAAGGGACTTCCTCTTTTCTACTGACCCTCTTGTCGATGACTTAATTTTCTTAGGTGCTGAGTATTTTTTATGTGTGTGATATATTGTTTTCTTACTAGGCTGAAAAAGACTCTTACCATCAATGCCTTTTTTTTCCCCCTCTGTGAAAACAAACAGAAAACAGCAAAGAAACTGAGAAGTTTCTGAATCTGATGAGAGCTTGGGTGAGAGAGGGTTTGTTAAGTAGGTCGGTGGTTAACAAATGCTCTGTTTTCTTCCAGGACTGCTGGTCGACCATAGTAAAACCTACAGCAGAGCCTTCTACTCCTGCGCAGCGGGCACAACTGTGGCTGCTGTGTGCCTGGCCCTTGTGAGACCCTGTAAACAGGGGCTGTGTCAGCAGCGGCCTTCAGGGGAAACAAAGGCAGAGGGCCATCGTGGGACAGCTTTACAAGACACCCCTGAAGATTTTCTTGAAATGGATCTTGGGAAAAGTGAGCATCGAGTTCCAATGAAAATGGAGCCAGTATGACTTGGTTTCCTGTAGCGTCAGTTACCATGTTGGCCTGTGAGAGGCTGGGGTGGAGGTAGGGCAGGAGAGACCAAGGGAGGCAACCTCTCAACTCCACTTTCAAAATACATTTTAGGGGAAAGTCCCAGGGGGCTTCAAAAAGTCTGTGGAAAAATTCCATTACCTTTCATTTCCTTTGTCCACAGACTCTTTGAAGCCCCCTCATATATGTATGACTGGCACTACCAACAACCTTTTTTCTTTCTACGTTTTCCTTTTTTTTGCTTGTTTTTTTAAAGCCAAAATAAAAACAGCCAAACACTCTTCCATATAGAAATCCGGCTACGTTCAATAGCTATGCAAGGGACTCTGGTACATATTCTGGTTTTAAATAGTGATATGAATTGGCAAAGTGGTTTTTAGAGTTCTCACATTTCATAAAATGACATCTAGCCCCAGGTCATGAAAATGAAATTGGTCATCGCCCCCCCCCACACACAAAAATCATAAATCATTTTTACAAATTGCTAATTTTCCAAAATAAAAATAAAATTTTAAATACCCTTTGGAAAATACTGGGGTTTCCATTTTTAAAAAAAAAAGATTTAATGGCCTCTGAATTTTCCAAGTACTTCATGGTGATGAAATGCAGTATACTACCAATTCCGATTTGACGGATGCACAGAAGTTTTAACAATATGCAGAACCTGAACTTCACTTAATGTGAACATTACCACGTTTTTTTTATGGCCAGTCATTACCACAAGTACTCCAGGACACAATGCACAGGATGGAGCTGAAAAATGTGTTTCCTGTGTTGCTATTAATTCTTCCAAAATACGTGATTGTAGTGTCTTTAATTTAAACCACTATTTATTATTAAGTTATTCTAAGATGAATAATCAAAAGAAGTTAAATCCAAAATATAATCAGCATTTTTACCTTTCTACAATCCCTTTTTAATGCTTTAAAGACTACTTCTTGCCTTGTAAAGTTACTCTCATAAAAGGCCAAGTTGTGATGATTCTTAGATTTGGTCCAAAGCAACATGTGCTGTTTAAAAAGAGGAAATAATGAAGAGCAAGCCACCTTAGCTATTTCAGGTCATTTTGTTTCTTCACCTCAGAACACTTCTTGAGGATCATCAGAATATTATTTCATTGAATTAACTGAAGCATTTCTGGCTTTGATTTTTTAAAGAAAACATCAAACTGTTAACCAATTTCTGTATTTTACATGGGGGTAGCGGAGACATGTACCTTACCATCACGAGCTATAAGTTAACGACTTAACGTCTTAACAGAAAACGTGACTCGATTGTACTAAATTGCTGTCGGCATCACTCATAGTTTGTTTTGGAGTTACTCTGCACTCGTAGTATTTCTCGTCTTAATGTTTTTCTGAAAAGAGGGCAAGTTTAAGGATAACAGGTGGGCGTCTTGCTCTCACCCTGCAAGTGTGGTGAATGCTTGCTGCCCCGTCTTTATGCATTGTCACTGTTAATTTGTAACAACTCAGGGGGAAAATCTAACAGCCTGGTTTGTTTACAGGTACTTTCAAGCTTGAATCTCTGCACTGAAATGAAAGTGGCGTAGTCCATCACCTGCTACATTTTGTATTGCATTTATCAGCCATAGAAATAGGACAATCTGTAAAACTCTGAGGACTTGGGGAGAGATGACAAAATGTCCAGAAAACACAGATGCACACAAAGCTAGGTGGATGTAGCAATTCTTGTCACTGCTTGAGAAGGACTTTGACCCTGTGACAGTTTTGCAGACTTATCTGACTTTGGCACTTTACAACATATTTTTTACTATGAATGTTCAATACAATTTAATATTTATAACTGATTTCTGGGGGGGGTCTGTTCATTCTCTTAACTGCATGAAAACATGTATGCCAATCTCCATATGCCAATAACCAAGGGTTTAAATGTTTGTAAAACAACAACAAAAACAGGATTGCTAATTTGTTCTGTGTTCATGACTTTCTGGTACTTCTAGATTTGCAATAAATGTATGGCTTTTTTTATTTAAAGAGATGGATTTCTTCTGCTATAAAGTTGGCGGGGTTTGGGTGTTGGTTGGTTTTTAACTGAATTATAGTCTTATCAACACCCATTGTTTGAATTGGAAAAGTTACATGACGCTCATGGCAGATTTCTGCAAAATTTTTTAACTCTACCATATACAAAGGAGCTCTGGTAGCATAGTGGTTACGAATCGGGCTGCGAACCTTAAGGTCAGTGGTTCGAAACTACCAGCTGCTCCGCGGGAGAAAGGTGAGGCTTTCTACTCCCGTAAAAATGTACACCCTCGGAAACCCTGTACAGGGTCGCTATGGGTCGGAATCGACTCGATGGCACTTAACAACAACAAAATAGACATATACAAGGAGCTCTGGTAGAGTAGTGGTTACGAATTGGGCTGCGAACTGCAAGGTCAGCAGTTTGAAACTACCAGCTGTTCCGTGGGAGAAAGATGAGGCTCTCTGCTCCCATAAAGATTTACAGCCTCAAAAACCCTGTACAGGGTCACTATGGGTCGGAACCGACGCCATGGCACACAACAACAACAATAGACATATATAAGGAGCTCTGGTAGTGTGGTTATGAGTCGGGCTGCCAACCTCAAGGTCAGCAGTTCGAAACTACCAGCGATTCCACAGGAGAAAGATGAAGCTTTCTGCTCCCGTAAAGATTTACAGCCTCGGAAACCCTGTACAGGGTCACTAGGAGTCAGAACTAACTCCACGGTACTTAACAACAACAACATAGACATATACAGGGAGTTCTGGTAGCGTAATGGTTACAAGCTGGGCTGCCAGCTATGTGAGGCTTCTTGCTCCCTTAAAGCTTTACAGCCTTGGAAACCTTATACAGGGTTGCTATGAGTCGGAACCGACTCCACAGCACACCACCATAGACATATACAGAGGCCTAGTTTAATACTGCAGGACCAGCGTTGGACTGCTAGCCACAAGGTTGGCAGTTCAAACCCACCAGCCACTTCTTGGAAACCCTATACATGGTCACTCTAAGTCAGAACGGACTCTATGGCACTTAATAACAACAACATTGATATATATGTACCACTGGTAGTGTAGTGGATTACATATTGGGTTGCTAACCACAAGTTAAGTAGTTTGAATCTACCAGTCACTCCGTGGGAGAGAGATGAGGGTTTCTGCACCCATAAAGATTTATAGCCTTAGAGACCCTTTACTGGGTTGCTGTGAGTCAGAAATGAGTCCACAGCACACCACCACCACCACGCCAGCCCTATAGACATACACAGGATCTTTCATAGTGCAGTGGTGAAAGCTGCTAACTGAAAGGTCAGCAGTTCAAACCCACCAGCTGCTCCACAGAGGAAAGATGTGCCAGTGTGCTTCTGTAAAGATTGGTGTTGTTACACACCATCCAGTCAGTTCTGACCCATAGCGACCCTGTAGAGGGTTTCTGAGGAGCATCTGGAGTGTTTGAACCACCGACCTTGCAGGGGTTAGCAGGCAGTGCTTACCCTACCCTTCCCTGTCAGGACTCCCTGTAAAGGTTGCAGTGTTGGAAACCATGTGGGCTTGCCCTACCCCGCTCTATAGAGACAAGATGTCTGAGAATCAACCCCACAGCAGCGGGTTTGGGTTTAGTTGGCTTTTTGTTTGTTTTTTCTTTAGAGACAAGTCAAGGTTTCCAAGAGATCCTGTGCCGTGATACTATAGGATAAGCGCCGGACTGCTCACCACGAGGTCGGCAGTTCAAACCCACCTCCTCCTCGGAAACTATACAGGGTTGCTCTGATCGGAGACCAACTGGACAGCAGTTAATTACAACAAAAGATTTCCAACAAGTGCTTCCTCAGGTTACTTTTTAGTGAAGACTACATGAATGAAATGCTGTCTTCTCAGCCACAGAGGAATAGGTTACACTTATGTAAAGTAGTAAATGCAAATAGTTAAAGACCACCGTCCTCAGTTGATGTAACCAGTCAAGTGCTTGACTGCTAGCCAAAAGGGTAGTTCAAACCCACCAAGAGGTGCCTCGGAAGACAAGCCTGGCAATCTGCTTCAGAAAGGTCACAGCCTTGGACATTCAGTCCAGTTCTGCTCTGCACACAAGGGCTCACCACCAGTCAGACCCAACTCGACAGCAAACAAACTAACAGAAACTTGATCAGTTACCCAACAGTCTCAGGAAAGGCCTAACCTCTAAATAAACAACAGAATCTTTCGGCTGGGGATTGGCAAGCTTTTTTTGTCAAGGTCTAGAAGATAGCAACTATTTTAGGCTCTGCTGGCCAGATGGTATCCATCACTACTACTCAGCTCTGCCCTGTCCTTCTGTAGAGTGGACACAGCCGCAGACGGCGTGCAAATGAATGTTTCAGTAAAACCTTATTTATGGATGCTGACATTTGAATGTTAGAAAGTTTTCACATCATTAATTCCACCACCACCCCCACTCCTCCAACCACTGTAAAATGTCGAAAGCATTCTTAGCTTGCAGGCTGACTGAAAACAAAAAATTGGACTTGGTCTACGGGTCGTAATTTTTCACCCCTGCTCTATGCAACTGTGGCACTGGAATGGGCGGTACCACCAAAAGCACATCTCTGTACCGTGATGCTGAACAGTTCTCTGAGGAACTTCTAGATTACGATGGAGAAGAAATACCCGGCAATCTGGTTCCCAAAATCAGCTAGTGAAGACCTTAACGATCTGGACTAGTAGAAAGGTTTGTTGTGGTCAAAGTCATTATTAAAAAATTGGCAGAACGTATCCTGCCTAACGCCCCTGTTCCTGTGAATGTGACCTAGTTTGGAAGTAGAGTCTTTGAAGATGTTATCAGTTAATGTGAAGTCACACTGGAGTTGTTAGTCGTTAGGGGCTGTCGAGTTGATGCCAACCCATAGCGACCGTATGTACCACAGAACGAAACTCTCCTCCGTCCTGTGCCGTCCTCACAGCTGTTACATTTGAGCTTACTCTTGCAGCCATGTTGCAGTTGATCTCGTTGGGGG